TCGTGCGGAGATCAGGTCATGTCCGCTTCCAGAGTGAAGGATGAATCTACGATCTTTGGCTTGTACTGGTAGCGAAATGCACATGAGATTCTTGGACTTCTTGAGGGATCGTTCCGCTTCATGTTCAACAAGTTCTTCAGTAAAGATCAGATCTTCGTTGTCACTGTCCAACTTGACTAGCATGTCGAACTTCGGGCCGATGATGACTCTCACTTCATCCACATCACAATGGAGTCCACGATTATCCATAATGATCGCTCTGGCTCTTGCCCGGACTGAACCAAGAATATTGTCAGACTTGGACTGATCATCAGCCAGATCATCGATCTTTCTGAAGACATAGGGCTTGTTGGGGTCACGATAGATACGTTTGGGCAATCCCTCCTGGTAGTCCTCAATAAAAATCTTGTGCACCTCGGGTTCCAGATCAATTGAGATTTTGCGAATATCAGAAGACTTCTTTGCGCTGGCTATCCTCGGTGAGGAATAATCCATTGCATCTTCATTGTCGCTGTCAAAGAAGGAATCGACAGTAATGGGAGTTGCCTTCTTCTTTGGTGTCTTCTTGCTGGTTCTTTCCGAAGATGCTGATGGCGACTGATCTGCATGTAGGAACTTACACTTGCTTCCAAATGTGCAGGTACCTTTCTGCCACTGCCAGCAGGTTCTCTTCTTGGGTCCAGCTGAAGAAGAACTTCTCTTACTCTTCCCTCTTGATGAATCTCTACTTCTGCTTCTTCCCTTCTTGTCTTTCATCTTGGCATCATAGACTCTTGTCACCTTTATTACACCCACCTTTGTTGAAGAAGTAGTTGCAGAACATCTTCTTCTTGTCAACGGGTGAAGATGATCTTCCCTTCCCACCTTTGCCTTTCTTGTTGTTCTTGTCGGCATGTGATTTTGGAGAAGGCGTTGGAAGAACTGATGCAGCTTCACTCTTCGCCTTGGCTTTAGGTCTTCCTTTGGGTGGATCACTCGTAGATGATGCTGCTGCTTCGTTCTCCTTCTTGGTCTTGGTGGGAACGGCAGGCTTTTCTGCATCTTCCAAGGCTGGCGTTGTCTTGGTAGAAGTCAATGAGATTTTGACTGCACGCTCTCTTTCCTTTAACAGTCGTTCTTGTTTCCCTCGTGCGATGTAACCTTTGATCATGGTGATCAGGAAATCGTAGGTCTTTTCAGGATGCCCTTCATCGAAGGTTCGATATCGGCTGATGTCAAAATGCATAAGTTTTGAATGTTCAATCTTCCGGAACAAGGTGTCACGTAGTGAGTTGAGAGATGGACGATCATCTTGTTTCATGTTGTACACTATGTCAAGCCATTTGTTGTAGAAAGCTTCAAGCTGGTCATCTCCATAGTAATTGAACACATATAGGTGATGGGAGTTGTAAAGAACTTCAGTATGGTCTGGCGACTTGAAACTTACCAGAATCATCGCGAATAGTTCTCGCCCCTTGATGAAGTCTCCACTCTTCCCATGCATCTGATTCTTCATGGACATCTCATACTTCACTTGCATGGATTTGTCCCCGGCATTTTCAATGACCTTTCTCAAAGCATTGGAAAGTTGGCATCGATGGACTGAAATCTTACACCAGGAGCCAAGGCTAATGCATCCATGTCTGGTTGATCTGCAAGACAAGGAGCCAACCATGCTTTCCAATCACTGTAGTTGTTTGTGATCTCCGCTAGCAACGCAAACTTCATGAATGACACTTCCCAAGACGAAAGTTCAGTGGTCTTTGGCCATGGTTGGAGAGTGATCTTCTCCACCGCCCTCTGGGACACAGATGACGTTGCCTTGTCCTTCTCAAGGTTCTCCAACTCTACGACATTGGTGTTGTACTCATTCCTGAGCTTCTCGAAGGCTTCGGCTTCCGCACGATACTCTTGCTCTTCATCATTAGCACGATCTTCAGCTTGAGAGAAGTTGTTCTTGTAGTGGTCCTTTCGTTCCTCCATTTTCTTCAACTCATCTCGGAGAGTTCGAACCTCTTCATTCTTCTCTCGTTTCATCTCTTCCAATTCAGCTCTCAACTTGGCACACTTCTCTTCACATTCACTTCGAGGCAACGCATTACTGGAGGTTCCAAGTAATACAGTTTGCATGTTTTGCATTGAAGATGAAGCGGCATGATTCTCGAGCCTCAGTGCAGCGATGGTGCTTGACATCTCTTCCACCTCAGCGAAGCGTTCACTAGCAAGATGGTGCATCTCGGTCAGGTGACTTTCAAGAATAGAATAGTCAGTTGCCCCTTTGATCACAAGTTGTCTGTCGTTCAACATGCTGATGGAGCGACCTGCATCTCTTCGTGCACGATCAAGAGATTCCCTCTGAGCTTCAACTTCGGTGTTGAGTTGAGCAACCTTCTCATCCCTGTCACTGATTTCATTGTGTAAATTGTCAAAGATGTTGCTAGAAGTATTTGGATGAGTACTCATGAAGTCAATCCTTTCCAAAGCATCCTGATATTTCTTCCCAAGGGATTCGTATGAATCGTGGTAGGTTTTGATCAGGTTCTCATTATCAATGATTTCAGCTTTGGCTCTTCTATACAGAACGTCAACTTCCTCTTTGGATTTCTTGATAATATCATGATCACGCCGTGCTTGATTGTACATCTCATAGTATAGCGCATGTGATGGTGCGTCACATAGAGACGATTGTCTGGCTTGTTGGCACGAAAGCTCATGATACTGGTTCTTCGATTCAGTCAGTTGCTGTTGCATGCGATCCAATAGGCTTTGCTTCATGTGTAATTCAGAACGTAGTCCCATGGTCCTTACGTCTCGCATACCACTTGCTTCAGAGGATGTTTCTTCAGAAAGTCTACTCTCAGTTGTCATCAATTGTGATTGTAGTCCTTCATTGCGAACCAACTGCAACTGAAGCTGAGTTTCCTCTAGAGCTAAATGGTGTTCACATTCGGCGTATCTTTCATGTTCAGATCTTAGGTCACTACGAAGTTCTCTCATGATCTCCCCTCTCCTCGTGTCAGCGGCATCGAGCTCTGTTTCCAGTCGTCTGATACTCAATGACATGTTGTGTTTCATCGTCTGGTTCTGGTTAGCAACCTCGAGCATCTCGACGTGAAGTGCACATGTTCGATCATTGGCAAAGCCGACTGCCAGAGCTTCTTGCTTTAGCTAGGTTCAAGATAGGTGGTAGAGGCCTTAAGTAAGATCCAAACATGTCTGGTACGTACGGCTGGTAGGTTTGGTTTTCTTGGTACGGTACGGTTGGTACATGTGGTACGGTACGGTTGGTACGGTTGGTACATCCAAAACGCCCCCCCCTTGACCCCCCCTTAATCTGGTACGGTACGGTGGTACGGTTCACTGGTACGGTTGGTACGGTTGGTAAGCGTACCAAACGTACCTTACTAAGCGTACCAAGCGTACCTACCCAAAGCGTACCAAGCGTACCAAGCGCACCAAGCGTACCGTACCAACCGCACCAAGCGTACCAAGCGTAGCGTACCTATCTTATAGCTGGATATCAAGCACCTATCTTGAACTTAGATAATTCTTGCTTCGCGTTCATCTCTGCGTTTTCCAGTTCCAGTCTGAGTTGATTGATGTGAGCATTTGCATCTGTACCCACATGTACCATGATTGCATTTGCTTGTCCCATCTGTTCATTGAATTCTGATCTCAGTTGTGAATATCTATATTCCAGGTGAGATGCTGCTTCATTCGACATGGTTCGATACCTCTCCAACTCTTCGATCCTGTAGGTTGCACCTTCGTCTTCTTGTTGTGCAGCAATTAGTTCGGAGTTCAGGATCTGAAGTTGTTGAGCCATCGATGTCATTTCTTGATGAGTGGTGTTCTCCAGAAAATTGAATTGTTGATTGGCATAGGCGGCCATCTCAGTCAATCGCGCTTGAAGTACGGATTCCCCTCTTCAGTAGCCCTGTCTAGTGATGTCTTGTACTCTACTAATTCACTCTGATAGGCAGTGAAGATGTCGCTACCACTTGATGGAGCATTCACTTGTTGATAAGATCCCACCCCTGATGGTGTAGCGTCCTGAATCGGTGAAGGCGGATTCGATGACGTAGGCTTCGCCTTAGTCCTTGGAGTCGTCGGAGGCGACGATTGTCGGGCAGATGATCTCCTTTTTCCAGGTGTACTGTCCCTATCTTCGATTGCTTGCATTGTCGGTAATTGTCTCCCCCTCGGAGCAACCAGAGATCGTCTGGGTAAGCTCGGTCTCAGTTCTGAGGTTTCACTTCCACCAGTATCGAAGCTCTGTGAAGAATTTGACTGCGTGCCGGCAGCTGGTGCGGCGGCATGTCCAGGAAAGGAAAATGCGTTATCGCTATTGTCCTCTTCTGTCATTCTCGCAAGGTCCGCAGCTACCCGCTCGTAGGCTCCGATGGAGATCTACGGCTGATAACCTGTGAATCGGAGATTGTCTCCGATATATGCGTGTGTGTGTATACCGTGGTAGATTGTTCGAATGCTCTTCAATGACGGCCAACGGCTTCGGCATTGCAATCCTTTTGCTGAGTTACTGCAGTATTGGCGTCTTGAGCCATAGGGGCGTCATTGGATAGACCCCTTGTGGCTGGAGATTTAAGATACCTACATATATGGGATTATGTAATGTACACTGTAGCCATTATCCCATTCGTATATTATTCCTCTGAGGTCCACCTGGCATCAAAAAGTCTTGTTTACTGTAATTGCACGTTATGGGATTCAGTTCCCGACAGATCACTACAATGATCCAGTTCTGTTCTAGTGTATGGCGAAGTTGTGTGTGGCAAAGTTGTTTGCGACAAAGTTGTGTGTCACGGTGTTGTTTGTGACAAAGTTGTGTGTGGCAAAGGTCTGTGTGACAGAGTTGTTTGTGACAATGCTGTTTGTGACAAAGTTGTCTGACAAAGTTGTGTGTGACAAAGTTGTGTGTGGCAGCGTTGTTTGCGACAAACTTGTGTGTGACAAAGTTGTGGGTGACAGAGTTGTTTGTGACAAAGTTGCGTTTGACAGAGTTATGAGTTGTTTGCGACAAAGTTGCGTGTGACAAAGTTGTGTGTGTGAGAGTGAGGAAGAGGCGGCGGAGGCAGGAGTCGGAAGAGGCGGCGGCGGGATGCAGTACAGAAAAAGAAGAACCCCACACAATGCGGGGAAATAGCGCAGCAATGTGTAGCAGCTTTTTGCCCAGGCAACAAGCACACAGCCGCGATTGCAAACCCCTTCCTTCGGCATGTCATCTTCCATCTTGCTTGCCATGCGGTGGATGCTTTCTCTGGGCCTCAAAGACAAGCCGGATTCGACGAACGGCAGACTGTAAAATCCCAATGCCAGATGGCTGCAGGTGCTGCAGCTTGCTGGAAACGGCATTCCCCGCTCTCCCCGTATTTCTTTCCGTAAGCAAGCCTACAAAAGTATGACAGTTTCAGAGGCTTGAACGTGAAATTGAATTTCCGTCGAGTTGCGAGGGCTTGGCTCCAGAGTAATGCAATTGAAGGTCACCCTGCTTGACGTAAAGACATCACTTTCAATGCTGATCAGGTCAGCACAGAAGTATGCCACTGGGTTTAGGGGTGAAGGCATCCAACTCCAAGCGACGTCACCTCCCATCGCCTGCACGACTGATGCATGCCTTTTAGGCAAAGCCCAAGGTGGCAAAAGTGAACCGTAACACTTGCCAACACTGGGATCGTAAAACCAGGGAAAAGACTAGACGACGGATGGCCCGAGAGCGTAGAGGAGCAAGTTCTTCTAATTATAGTATCAGACCATATATTACAAGACAATAGTTTGCATCGTAACCTTCGTATAGCTCTTACACACAGAACCTTCTACGCACAGAAGCTTTTACACACACACACAGAGGCTTTTCACACAGACGCTCTTGCACACAGAAGCTTTTGCACACAGAAGCTTTTTACACACGGAAGCTTTTACACAAAAAAGCTTTTTACACACAGACACTCTTACACACAGACGCTTTTACACACCGAAGCTTTTACACACAGAAGCTTGTACACACAGACACATTAACACACAGATGCTTTTACACACAGAAGCTTTTACACACAGAACCTTTTACACACAGACGCTTTTACACACAGAAGCTTTTACACACAGACGATTTTGCACACAAACGCTTTTACACGCAGCCGCTCTTACACACAGACACTTTTATACACAAACGCTTTTACACACAGCCGCTTTTACACACAGAACCTTTTACACACAGACACTTTTACACACAGGCGCTTTTACGCACATATTACACACAGACGCTTGTACACACAGATTGCACACAGACGCTCTCACACACAGAAGCGTTTACACAAACAGGCACTTTTACACACAGACGCTTTTACACACAGAAGCTTTTACACACAGAAGCTTTTACACACAAACACTTTTACACGCAGAAGCTTTAACACACAGACACATTTACACACAGACGCTCTTACACACAGACGCTTTTACACACCGAACCTTTTACACACAGGCACTTTTACACACAATCCTTTTACACGCAGAAGCTTTTTACACACAGACACATTTACATTTACACACAGACGCTCTCACACACAGACGCTTTTACACACCGAAGCTTTTACACACAGAACCTTTTACACACAGACGCTTTTAGACACAGACACTTTTACACACAGAAGCTTTTACACACAAACACTTTTACACACAGAAGCTTTTACACACAGACACTTTTACACACAAACGCTTTTACACACAGCCGCTTTTACACACAGACCCTTTCACACACAAACTCTTTTACACACCAACGCTTCTGCAAATACGTTTGCAAGCAAACGCTTTTACACAGAAACTCTTTTACAGAGAAACACTTTACACACAATCCTTTTACACACAAACGTTTTACACACAAACGCTTTTACACTCAAAGGATTTTACACACAAATGCTTTTACACACAGACCCTCGCACGCGCCGACTTCTACACTAGAACCTCGTTTCGTGCGAAAGGGTCGCCGCGGCCACCGTAAAATCACCATTTTGCCTCAGGTTTTGACACTCAAACCTCATTTCGTGCGATCGCCGAACCAACCAAACTCGCAAAAACCACGAGTTTTTGACACTCGAACCTCGTTTCGTGCGAAAATGGTTGCCGCCGAGGATGTAAAGTCGCAATTTTACCTCAGTTTTTGCCACTCGAACCTCATTTCGTGTGAAAGGGTGGCCACTTCGTGGCGGCTCGTCGGCACTGCCTGCGGCCTGAAGAGAGGAAAGAAAAAAGACGAGAGCGAGAGAGAGAGAGAGAGAGAGAGAGAGAGAGAGAAAAGAGAAGAGAGAGAGAGAGAGAAGGTGTGAAGATGTGAGCATGTGAAGATGTGAAGATATGAACATGTGAAGATGTATAGCAGACCTCCACTATTAGAAAGGCCAGGGTGCAAGAAAATCAATCAGTATACTATACTATACGATGCTATACTATACTATACTATGCTATACTATACTATACTATACTGTACTATACTATACTATACTACACTATGCTATACTATACTACACTACACTATACTATAATATCTATAATATAAAATAGTATAATAGAATAAATACTATAATATAACATAGTATAATATAATAAAGTATAATATTGTGACATTATAAAATTAATATATATATATAACATTATATTCTGAATGATACTGACGCGCATAACTCATAACCTTGTTCGGGTCATTACCTTGAATTTTGCAATCCCTTTGGGATACCATCTTACCAGGACCAGAAACCGCCCACTTGGATTCAGCTGACCCCCTTGTAGGTGATTATGGTTGAAGGTGGGGCCGCGCACCTTCATAAAGAACGTGTTCGCAATGGTCTGGGAACAATCTTTCATCACCCCTGCAGCTGCTGTAGTGAGCAGGAGGCTAACCTCAAAGAAGAAAAGGTACAAGTGGCTTACCGAGTAAGAACCCTCCTGAAAGCGGCCCAGCAGAACCCACTTTGCTCCAATTGCCGCCAGCACCACGAACATGTCATAGAGCAATGTCGAAAGAACAAGGATGGCGGGCAGCACGACCACCACCAAACCCAAATCGGAAGAAAGTGTCGGCTGGCGACCGCCCACGAGCAATGGAATCAACTTCATAAAGATGTAGGACAAGTCGATGAGGAAAGGCCACAAACTTAAAACCTTCAACCACAGCAAGAACGGCATCACAACGAAAGAAGCTCCAAGACCTCAGAGCATTGTATTGCAGCTTTGAGCCCACCTCTCTTTAAAAAAACTGCAGCATTTTCAGCAAGGACACGTGGAAAAGGTGATGTTAAACGCAACTGGAATCTAGACTGTCTAGACTAGTTTCGCTATGTTTCGTTTTCATTACGGTTCTTTGACTCCTCTTCCGCCGCTTGTCAACAACCGCAAGAATGAGATTCCGGCTCATGGGTGTTCGTCGAGGAAAACTCAAAAGCCGATCGGAGTCGATGTCGACAGCAGATAAGGCAGTGGAAGTTCCTGCGCTCCCATCGTGCACCTTTTGAGCGCCCACTTCTCCTGCAGGGAATTGCTTCGCAAGGGGCTGTTCATGCCATGGTAGTGGTACCGGCATGGCACGTCAGCAATTGCTATCACCTTGAAATCGAAATCCGCCGACCCCGGCCTTCGCCAAGGCAGGGGCGGCGCCTGGGACCACCGGAGGTGTGGAACCTGCTTTGTCACGGCCATGGCACCAAGCCCTGCTGTTCCAGCGTTGCAACCTGCCGTTTGGTGCACATAGCCTCTGTTGTTAGGGCGTTCAAGCCTGCCGTTTGCCAGCCTTCAAACCCTTAACACCCTCCGTCGGGGCATTCGTTTGCCAGGCTTCAAACACTTAAAAGTCTTAAAACCCTCCAGATCCCTCGCGGCAGCTTCCACCAAGCCCTCTGGCCGTCAGCCTTTGCTGTTCCAGGGTTGCAGCCTGCCCTTTGCCTGCACATAGTCCTCTGTTGTTGGGGCGTTCAAGCCCGCCGTTTGCCAGCCTTCAAACCCTTAACACCCTCCGTCGGGGCATTCGTTTGCCAGGCTTCAAACACTTAAAACTCTTAAAACTCTCCAGATCCCTCGCGGCAGCTTCCACCAAGCCCTCTGGCCGTCAGCCTTTGCTGTTCCAGGGTTGCAGCCTGCCTGCACATAGCCCTCTGTTGTTAGGGCGTTCAAGCCTGCCGTTTGCCAGCCTTCAAACCCTTAAAACCCTCCGTTGGGGCATTCCTTTGCCAGGCTTCAAACACTTAAACCTCTTCAAACTTTCCAGATCCCTCGCGGCAGCTTCCACCAAGCCCTCTGGCCGTCAGCCTTTGCTGTTCCAGGGTTGCAGCCTGCCCTTTGCCTGCACATAGTCCTCTGTTGTTAGGGCGTTCAAGCCTGCCGTTTGCCAGCCTTCAAATAAAACCCTCCGTTGGGGCATTCGTTTGCCAAGCTTCAGACACTTAAAACTCTTAAAACCCTCTACATCCCTCGCGGCAGCTTCAACCAAGCCCTCTGGCCGTCAGCCTTTGCTGTTCCAGGGTTGCAGCCTGCCCTTTGCCTGCACATAGCCCTCTGTTGTTAGGGCGTTCAAGCCTGCCGTTTGCCAGCCTTCAAACCCTTAAAACCCTCCGTTGGGGCATTCGTTCGCCAAGCTTCAAACACTTAAAAGTCTTAAAACCCTCCAGATCCCTCGCGGCAAGCCCTCTGGCCGTCTGCCTTTGCTGTTCCAGGGTTGCAGCCTGCCCTTTGCCTGCACATAGCCCTCTGTTGAAAGTCTTAAAACCCTCCAGATCCCTCGCGGCAGCTTCCACCAAACCCTCTGGCCGTCAGCCTTTGCTGATCCAGGGTTGCAGCCTGCCCTTTGCCTGCACATAGCCCTCTGTTGTTAGGGCGTTCAAGCATGCCGTTTGCCAGCCTTCAAACCCCTAACACCCTCGGTTGGGGCATTCGTTTGCCAGGCTTCAAACACTTAAAACTCTTAAAACCCTCCAGATCCCTCGCGGCAGCTTCCACCAAGCCCTCTGGCCGTCAGCCTTTGCTGTTCCAGGGTTGCAGCCTGCCCTTTGCCTGCACATAGCACTCTGTTCTTAAGGCGTTCAAGCCTGCCGTTTGCCAGCCTCCAAACCCTTCAAACCCTTAAAACCCTCCATTCCAGGGTTGCAGCCTGCCCTTTGCCTGCACATAGTCCTCTGTTGTTAGGGCGTTCAAGCCTGCCGCTTGCCAGCCTTCAAACCCTTAAAACCCTCCGTTGGGGCATTCCTTTGCCAGGCTTCAAACACTTAAAACTCTTAAAACCCTCCAGATCCCTCGCGGCAGCTTCCACCAAGCCCTCTGGCCGTCAGCCTTTGCTGTTCCAGGGTTGCAGCCTGCCCTTTCCCTGCACATAGCCCTCCTGTTGTTAGGGCGTTCAAGCCTGCTTTTTGCCAGCCTTCAAACCCGTAAAACCCTCCGTTGGGGCATTCGTTTGCCAGGCGACAAACACTTAAAACTCTTAAAACCCTCCAGATCCCTCGCGGCAGCTTCCACCAAGCCCTCTGGCCGTCAGCCTTTGCTGTTCCAGGGTTGCAGCCTGCCCTTTGCCTGCACATAGCCCTCTGTTGTTAGGGCGTTCAAGCCTGCCGTTTGCCAGCCTTCAATCCCTTAAAACCCTCCGTTGGGGCATTCGTTTGCCAGGCTTCAAACACTTAAAGCTCTGAAAACCCTCCAGATCCCTCGCGGCACTTCCACCAAGCCCTCTGGCCGTCACCCTTTGCTGTTCCAGGGTTGCAGCCTGCCCTTTGCCTGCACATAGCCCTCTGCTGTTAGGGCGTTCAAGCCCGCCGTTTGCCAGCCTTCAAACCCTTAAAACCCTCCGTTGGGGCATTCGTTCGCCAGGCTTCAAACACTTAAAACTCTTAAAGCCCTCCAGATCCCTCGCGGCAGCTTCCACCAAGCCCTCTGGCCGTCAGCCTTTGCTGTTCCAGGGTTGCAGCCTGCCCTTTGCCTGCACATAGCCCTCTGTTGTTAGGGCGTTCAAGCCTGCCGTTTGCCAGCCTTCAAACCCTTAAAACCCTCCGTTGTGGCATCCTTTGCCTGCACTTAGTCTGTTCTTAGGGCGTTCAAGCCTGCCGTTTGCCAGCCTTCAAACCCTAAAAACCCTCCGTTGGGGCATTCCTTTGCCAGGCTTCAAACACTTAAAACTCTTAAAACCCTCCAGATCCCTCGTGGCAGCTTCCACCAAGCCCTCTGGCCGTCAGCCTTTGCTGTTCCAGGGTTGCAGTTTGCCCTTTGCCTGCACATAGCCCTCTGTTGTTAGGGCGTTCAAGCCTGCCGTTTCCCAGCCTTCAAACCCTTAAAACCCTCCGTTGGGGCATTCCTTTGCCAGGCTTCAAACACTTAAAACTCTGAAAACCCTCCAGATCCCTCGCGGCAGCTTCCACCAAGCCCTCTGGCCGTCAGCCTTTGCTGTTCCAGGGTTGCAGCCTGCCCTTTGCCTGCACATAGTCCTCTGTTCTTAGGTGCCGTTTGCCAGCCTTCAAACCCTTAAAACCCTCCGTTGGGGCATTCGTTTCCCAGGCTTCAAACACTTAAAAGGGATGATTATCACTGGATGGGAAATATCAAACTGAGCCCGATCCTTCTGCGCAGGACGATCAATTGGCAAGGCTGAAGAGGCTGCAGAGTCCAAGGAACGCTCAAGTTGGAGCCAGCTGAGTCGAAAGGAACCAAGTTTCACACTAAAATCTGGGACGTGACTGGGTTAGATATAGACCAACCACTGGACCAACCACCTTCAGCCCAACCCCCCAGAAGGGGGGTCGGCGGCACCCGGGCGCTAGCCCATTCTATATGCTTCTTTCCCCCATGTAGCGGAAATAATGTTCCGAAGGATCTATAATGTTCCGAAGGATCTGTTTCCTTTTGTGGGCGCAACCCGCGCCTGTCACGGTGCAATGCGGAAGCACAATAGCACCATCGCCCACCACAGCACCAGGCTTCAAAGTTGCATTTTGGCAAATGACCTGGGAAGCCGGCTTGTGATAGCAAATCGTGTGGCAACATGTTTCAATCTGAAGGGATAGATCAATAACGGGTGCAAATCTTTGTGTTGTTTCTTTTGGCGCGTGGTATGTTTTCTTGTTTTCAATCCGGGGCACTTTTCCTTGGTATTTGCTATATTTTGGGACTGAAATCTCTCATTTGCACTGCTCAACGATTTTCCCATGGTGTTCATCCATTTCTCACTGGCGTTCATCGCTTATTCCATTGCTTTCAATGATTTTCCCAGGGGATCCATTGATTTGTGCATGGTATCTTTCCTCAGTTTTCTACATTTTTTTCATTGGTTTTGCCATGGCTGCCTTTGGTTTTTACATGGCGTTCACCGATTTTTACATGGTTTTATCAATCTTTACCGACTTTCCATTGTTTTAAACATGCTTTACAAATTTTTCATTGTTCTTTTCCATTGTTTTCATTTTTTCCATGGTTTGCATCAATGTTTACGTGATTCTTCTTTGATTTTTCCATGGCTTTCGCCGGTTTTTACATGGTTTGGATTGATTTTTCCAATGGTGTCCATTGATTTTTAGACGGTTTTCATCAGTTTTGCAGTGGTTCCCAGTATTGTTGCAATGCCCTTGTGCTTGGTGACCTTTGAAGAAGTTTTCATCGGCTTTTCATGTTTCAAATGCATTTCATTCATTTCATACTTGTTTTCATCGGTTTTACGCTGGTTTGCACTATATAATATTGCTCTCTGAAGCCAAATAACGCCGCACTTCCAAAATATCAAGCAAGAAGGGACCTACACATATGAAAGTTTTGGAAACCACAACAATAGCCACAAACTTAAAACAACCAAAGCAATGAGAAAAACTCCGCCCCGAGCCCCCGAAAAAAACGGGGGGGCAAAGCCACCCACAGAAGCGAAGAAACACAAACAAAACAAAGGAAAACCACTGATGGAACCTCAAAAACCTGAACCAATAGTGTCGTGTATTTGCAAGTGCGCGAGCTTGGATTCGAATAAAAAAGCTGGAGCGGGGGAATGACAATAATACCGATTCCCCCGTGTACTGTAGGTTGAATATGATACTGGGGGTGTATAAAATGCACAACATGCATCTTGTGAGCATCTAGGCTGTAGGTCGAGCCAGTGCAGAACTACGTTGGGCGTAAATGGCCTCATTGGATTAGGGATGTTATTTTCAGACCCTGCAAAAACATGCAAAAACTATCCGATGAAAACGAGCTGTTTCTGTGGCAAAACGTGAAATAAACACTCAAATTTTGGTATTCATTTTTTTTGGGGTTGTTTTTCATGAAAGAAATTCGCGTTTCGCTGCAGTGCCATACTCATTAAAAAATACTTTACTTCGAGTTATCCCCACCATGACATTTATACGTTTTGTTACTGGCAAATCTTCTGGAATTCTATCTGATATATCTTCTGGCATTTTTTCTAGCATATCTTCTCGCATTCTATCTGGCATATCTTCTGGCATATTTTCTGGCATTCTACCTGGCATATCTTCTGCAATATGTTCTGGCATATCTGCTGGCACTCTATCTGGCATATCTTCTGACATTTTATCTGGCACATCTTCTGGCATTCTATCTGGCATATCTTCTGGCATTCTATCTGGCATATCTTCTGGCATTCTATCTGGCATTTTATTTGGCATTCTATCTGGCATACCTTCTGGCATTCTATCTGGCATATCTTGTGGCATTCTATCTGGCATATCTTCTGGCATTCTATCTGGCATATCTTCTGGCATTCTATCTGACATTCTTTCTGGCGTTCTATCTGACATATCTCCTGGCATTCTATCTGGCATATCTTCTGGCATTCGATCTGGCATATCTTCTGACATTTTATCTGGCACATCTTCTGGCATTCTATCTGGCATATCTTCTGGCATTCTATCTGGCATTTTATCTGGCATTCTATCTGGCATACCTTCTGGCATTCTATCTGGCATATCTTCTGGCATTCTATCTGACATTTTATCTGGCATTCTATCTGGCATACCTTCTGGCATTTCTATCTGGCATATCTTCTGGCATTTTATCTGGCATATCTCATGGCATTTCATTTGGCATATCTTCTGGCATCCTATCTGACATTCTATCTGGCATATGTTCTGGCATTCTATCTGGCCGTTGAGGTCCAGCGGTGCACACTGAGCTGGGAAGGTCCAAGGTTGGGGTCCAGCTGAGGTCCAGCGGTGCACACTGAGCTGGGAAGGTCCCAGGCTGAGGTCCAGCGGTGCACACTGGGCTGGGAAGGTCCCAGGTTGAGGTCCAGCAGTGCGCACTGAGCTCGGAAGTTGGCGAAGAGCAAGTGGAGGTGGAAGTTGATGCAGACATGGTCGAGGAGAAACTGGAGGAGGAGGCGGAGGAGGAGGAGGCGAGGAGGAGGCGGAGGAGGAAGAGGAGAAGAGCTATCCGAGGAGGAGAAGAACAACTCTGATGAAATCTAACAACCCTCACCTGGCAGGTGGGGAAAAAACGTGCTTTTACGAGCACGGTTTCCGGTCCGGCGGGTTGTTTATGACCCCAGGCGCCGGACCAGGGAGGAATCGATACCCGTCACTCAAGTGCGACACGGCACATGACCCTGAAAACTTCCCCTTTGTGCCACCTGAAACATTACCTAATTTCGATTAATTTCGTGTTTCATGGCTATTGTCGTCAGACCTGCCCCCAGACCCCTGAAGCTCACAATAGTAACTTCAGCCTAGCCTGCCGGCCGGCTTTCGTAATATTGAATAGACTTGAGTTCTCATGTCCATTTTGGCGCGTCCAAAAGGTTTCAGAAGGTAAGCATATAGATATACCAAGGTTCTCATCTCTGTTATTGCGCGTCTGAGTGGTCTTATACCAGTAGTACCGCACAAGGCGGTGGCGGAAGTTTCAGAATAGGAAACCTATAGGAGACGT